TCGAGCAATAACTACATCTTATGGTGAAAAGATCAAAGCCATGGAGAGTTCCCAGAAATACAAAGAAGGCAAGTTTATCATGGAGCATGGTGTAGTCCAAGATGATGCGGAAGAGCTGAATTGGGACCGCTTGTAAAGCATTGCGGCTTTCATGAAGATGCTTGAATCTCAGATTCGACGATCGTGAACAGCGTATGAACCATTATTGCGAGCACCTGGTATGAGTGCCAATGAACAGTGTAATGATACTGGTGTAGTGATCACGATCATTTATCGTTCCGCTAGTTATCTCGACAGCCAAGTGTAGATATGACAGAGTCCAGAGAATGTATCGCTTCGACTAGAGTACCCTTTTCATCAAAAAACTCGTACATATCTCTCAGAAAGCCGATTGCTCGTATCGCTCTACGTTTCTTCTAAGCTGGCAGGTCACGCTTGCCGATAATTAATGAGCAGGTGTCTGATACCGTAAGGCAGCATATTTATCTCAAGTACGGTCAAGAAGAAGTTTTAATGTCGCTGGTTCATTCGAGCATACAGACCTCAGCCGTTGGCCACCACCTATGTGCTTTCTTCACGCAGCATATTGCAGCACATACGCAACGCGACCTCTTCGCTAGCCTCGCCTAACATTTCATATTGACCGGAACGTAATGTCCTTTATGCTCCAATCGACCCTCAATTCTGTGACCATTCGAAGCCAGCAGCAATGCTGTTTGCTATCACTAAGAAATTGCACGCATAAATTCGTTCCTTCAACCTTTCTTGCCTTCTCCACGTTCGATTTCCACCTCAATTCCAGCCTTGTAAAGGTGGACTCTTTGCAGTCAGACTAATAGATTGTCAGATGAAAGGATACATAGAACGCGACGAACATGCACCGGGACGTCATAGATCACGTGTAGGCTCGGATCAATTTTAATCAGGTACAATGCATACTTTATCATATTCTTCGATGTAAAGAAGGGAAATTGTAAATAAGCCAAATAAACAGATGATAAGAAATGCATCAGAGCTGTAAATGACATGTATGAGAACACAAGTGCTTAACTAAGACAGACCCAGAAAGACAATAATGATGTTGTGGTATATATATATGCCCTCTTAAATTGACTGAAAGAAAGTCCACCCATAATTTGCCCGACGTGGATCGGGCATCGAGTCTCCACTGATCATGTCGTTTTGATCATCAAAGCAAGCGGCACGCAACATTTTGTTGTGCGATACGCAACATCTTCTTGTGCGATACGCAGCATTTACAGCGCGAGTGTCATGTGTATTTGTCGTGCATGAAGACATACTATGTGATTGCGGTAAACAATATGATTGTCAGTATCTTAGCACACGTACGATAGATTTCGTGCATATAGTTGTGTAAATTGCTACTCCATAGCGTACACAATCCGCAACCATAATCTCATTTAAGACTTCACAAATGGGATAAGATGTTCTAATACTTTAACAATGTGAGGCTCCTTCTCATTAGATCGTAACACAGTATCACTACATGCTCGTTGTAGCTTTTGGTTGAGCTTAGTATGTCGCGAGCAAGCACTTCAAACTCAAACTAGTAGCTTAAGCTGTTTCCTGTCGGCAGATGGTTGCTGTTTGCGTTTGTTGTTGCTCAAGTTTCGTTTGCACGATAGACGCGCGTCGCAAGAACAATGATTTCGCTATTCTTTTTTTGGTATTTTACAATAAAACTATATTTTACAATTACGTAGACGCACACGTAGTGTATTGTCGACTGTGCGATTTGAAATAGAAAAATATAGGCATTACAAAGCAGTCACAACGACACAAATCTTCACGCAGGGTATTGCATCCACGATACCTTCCACATGTTGTCGATGACAAGTGTACATTTGTATTCGTCTTTATTCATATATAGACGATTTCGTACATGCCAAATGCGTCTTTCGTCCTCTTGCTAGAGCTGATAGGTCTACGTCTAGTACGATGGTAGTTTTGACAATTAAGAAGTTAGCAAGCATTTACATGAGCACCTGCCATAACATTAAAACATATCAAATATTTTTTCGTCGAATAAAGTGCTCTTTCGCCTATCTATACGTCATCTCCAGCTTCTTAATGTAGTACCTTTGACATCAAACCCAGCACTGTTAGCGCGCCATTAAGACACAGCGCTATCCCATATTTATCGTTCATCACGTCATTACGAATAAAACATCCATATATCATTCCATTCGAACAACATGTAAGCTGGATGAACCGGTTTGATGTAAAAATCTGATTTATTAAACGACATGACCACTTCAAGACTACGCATGAAGCGTCATCGCACGTCCTCCTTTTGCAATTCACGTGGTGACTGAATAAAATAAGGGGGTTTCGAGGTATTGTACGTGACATGAGAGGGATCAGCGATATGCGTACATGTATATAAATGCTTACAGGTTGTGTTTTTTCGGTCGCATAAACACACTACTGGTAGTATTTTTGTTTTCGTAGTTACTTGGCACAATATTCTTATTTCCCCTTTACGGAAATCTTTCAAAACCCCAAAAATGCTCAAAAGACTAAACATAGTTTAAGGTATTAGACAAGGGCCAACACAATGTTTTACGCAATGGTAAACTGATATTCATTTACCACATAATTAGGAACAATCGAAGCATCATTCGATTTTGACATGCATTCAAATTACATTTCATGATCAAGATCACTTTAAATTCTTTAGGATTGCTAAAACGCACGAAATGAATTTCGTAGCTTTTTGCACGACCACAAGTGTTTTTAGCGTTCTGTCCTTTTTAGAAGTTCGTTTGCGTATATTCATCACTTCGCCTGCACATGAAATCAGTTTAACACGACAGTTATATTTGCCACAGGATGCATACACTCTACGACGACAGCGTCATTTTGTGTGCAAACGCAGAAACGTGATCGCGCCAAGGACGCAGCATTACGTAGTTTCAGCATAATGTGACAATGTTGCAACGTGATCAAGAGGACCGATGGACTTTAATTAGCTCATAAGAAGATCTATTTTAGCTGTAACGTAAGCACCCGACTATGGCAGTCTGCAAAAAATTATGACTTTCACCTTAAAACTTACCGAGTCAACTATCTCTCATATTAGCAGCATTGTTTGTAGATTAACAGCACAGGGACTCAAAATTACGCCTTATCGAGACACTTTATCGTCTGCATACAAGTGCGCGTATCATAAATGTGGATATGAAGTCCATTTATGAACAGAGTTACCGAAATATTTCGTTCTGCGAGTAACATCGCGTTCATATAAGTATTGCCACACATACGACCTATGAAGCCCGCGGAGAAGATTGCAATTTGCGTTATCGACGAAAGCACCAGGTGAGAATGCATCTTTACGCACGGTATCGGAATACCAGTCCATCGGTCGGTGACCGCGCGTGAGCGGATAGTACATATTGCGAGGAAGTTGGAATTGCCACTCAGCCACAGCTGGTCTTCGTAGAATGCGATGTATTTTACTCGAGATTGAGGTGGGTCACTTATCAAAAAGTGTAATGATGAGCTCCATTAAACAGATGATCTCTAGAAATTGCACTTTATCATAAACATCAGCATAATAAGACATCTCGTATCATGACCTGTCGACATCGGTCGGATGAGCGTCTTCTATGTGTTGAAGGCAGACTCAGAAGTTGCTACACACTTTTGCGTGGAGTGCGTTATTCTTGCGCGAGAGGGCACGGAATGAAGTAATGTCTGTCCTGATAACGATTGAGCTAAGGCGGGGCAGTCCATCATGCGAATCGAATCATTCGTGTCATGCGCGGTTAAAGCTTGTTGTCGAAAATGTCGAACCGCAAAGATACCAGATGACCATCAGCGCGCACCATCACGAAATGGAAACGCATCAAAAACGTCGCTTTACCACGTGGCTCATACCGAAAAGCTTAGTACGCTGAACACACATAGCACGGCTTGCACTTAAGTAGGTATGAGCATTCTAACCTGATGTCTATGTTATAGTCACATTCAGCTTCGGTGATGTCAATGATTTGTTCTGCGCTCAAGTTCCCGGGCCCGATAAAAGAAACTGGTAGAGTACTTTACGTATATCAATTTGAAGATTGGCGTGCCTCTTCGACGCACCCATGACTAGTTGGTCACCGCCAAAAGTATTTAATTGTCAATCCGCGATACATACAAGCATTTAAAGTCAGAGGATTGCTGCTATGCTATCTTAGTACACACAGTAGATAATTTTTCTAGTTGGATAAATACCTTGCGAATGACCTATACGACTTCGTGCAGCATGTCACACGTAGTAGTTAACGATACAAACGATCCTGAATTTTGTCGTTAGAAAGGTAGCCACGACATGACCTCGGAGAGAAAACTCATTGGCTTTGACCCGATGTCATGTAGTTTTGGCGTTTCAGCTGACAGAGCGAATGCCATCTTGCACAAAGCAACTCTGCAACATCGATGTATCATCTACGCGTATGAAGTATCATAAAAACAGTGAGCTATCATTCACATTAACACATCGACGTAACTACGGTGAAGTTGCTTTCGGCGAAAGTAGTAACAAATTGCTCATAATGTTTCACGTCGCATCAGAACTCGCCTGCACATCCGCAATGTGCTAATTATTTGCTCGTTATGTGATTTTCACTGCTGCATGTACGCCAGCTTCTCACATGCGTACAGCCTGGTGGTCGTAAGTACAATTGCAGTCGCCGTGGGAAAGGAAGCGCTCTCTGACACTTGGTCTTTCTGTCGATCAAGATAGTTTTTGTTGAATCGTCGTTGGTTTGAATCCTAATCATCTGGCGTTGGCAACGCAAAGAGTCTGTAAATTAGTGGACAAAAATCGAAATACCTGCTTTAAAATGCGTAACCAGGTCTGTGGAGACAAAATTAGGGTCGGACCAAAACACATTTTCTGGTAGCAAAACGATTGGTCACGCTCTGCGAATAGAACGCTGCGATTCAATGTATCACTCACTTCGCAATCTGCTAGCACCTACGCGCACCCCGCGATGCGTTTAAATAGCATACTGCTATCGGCATATGCCGCACCTACATTGCTGATGCTGGGAGACGGCGATCTAGTGTGTGCTGATGCTCATAATGCCGAACAAACAAGCTTCAACGAATCCAAGCCTGACTACAGACGCATGCATGTTGCCAGCCCAGCGGATTCTAGCCCGACCGCATCCATTACGGAGTCGCACGTCTCAAAAAAGGATAAGACAGTGCGCGAAGACACCAGAAGCGAGGACCGAATGGAGAACAAGCTCGAAGAGGTGCTGGAATCGTCAGCTCAGGCACTGACTGACGTGGCGCGAAAAGTCAAAGCTTTCGACCGCAAGGATTTGCGTACGAAGACCATGACACAGTTTTATTGGACAATCCCTTACGCTTTCAATACCAAATGTACCGAGGTGTATGAGGACTTTGCAAGAGGCGAGCAACCCATGGAAGCAACGAAACTTGCAGCGTTGCTGATTCGCAATCGTGATTTATCATTGACCGAATTGCACGCTGGAACACCTGAGATAATATCAGCCTTGTTGTCGAAGAGGAACCCACTAGACGTGACGCGTGTGGTTGTGTTGCTTCGTTCGGTTCCAGGAATGGAAGCTGATTCCGACGTGTTGCACAGACAGCTAGTTGCGAATCACAAGGACCTCCCCGGAGTCATATCCGACGCATGGATGAATTTGGGATTGGACACCGAAGAATTGCTTAAGATTCTCAACTGGCACCCCGACCACGAAGCCCTTTTTACCCCTTCCTTCTTTCACGAAGTGGTACTGTACATTATAAAGTTCAAGGAAAAACACTTGGCAGCACTCAGTATCGATGAAGCAATCAGACTTTTGTTCCAAACGATGAACCCAGGACAAGTGCATGATTATCTCGGTCGACTGGAGGAAATAGGTGGTCATGAAGCGCTCGTCAAAACGCTGCGAGTGATTTACGCCAACATACGCAACCATGACTCGTTGTTGAACAAGTTGAGGGCTCAGAGGCTTTTGTCTCGAAAGATGCAAGCCGAGAAGACGCCAGATCATGTTCGTGAATTTGCGAAGCTTGCCATACCTTTGGAGCCCATTGACGCTCCAGCTTTTGCACATTTGCTCAAGGCCGGTCGTCGTATAGGGCCAAAAGTACACGCTAGACTGAAGGAGATTGTCGGGGCATTGCTGTTCATAAGAACCCCAGCAGAAGTGGTTCAAGCACTGGCATCTCTTCACACGATCGCAGGGAATGAAGCGATTGCGACTAAGATGCACAGAATACTTGCAGGCCTGTACCTGCCAAAGACAATGCGTTTGGTGTGGATGGAGGCGGGAGTGCCCCCTCGGACTATCTTGGAGACTTGCATCAGTACAAAGGATGTGCCGTTCGATCGCCCCAATGGTGCACTTCTATCTGAATACAAAAAGTTCGTGGAGATGTATAAACGTGTGCATCCATACGGAATCAACACACGTGACGCGTAGAAGGATTTGCGTTTTAACAAATACAGACTAGTTTAGAAGGGCAGTACCAGATCTATTGAAAGGAATAGCCGAGACGAATAGCTTGTCCGTGTGTTGCGTCAAACGCTTGACACGTTTTTTTTGTAGTCCATTATACTTTTGGAGGCGCTTCGTACGTACACCTGGCCGATTCGTCGTATGAAGCCAAGCGTGCGTTTGCAGTGCGATTTTAATGTTTGTTAGCTTTTCATTACAAAACGAATGCGAAAGACTTAGAGGTAGCATAAGTGATGGCGAACTAAGGACCTTTTCTATATTGAGACGTACTCAACATCCGTGTGTCCGTTGAGCGACGATAACGCAGTATTGTTTAAATAGCCCTTAAGATGACATTTGTGATTTTTTAATCGTAAAAGCTAATTATCACTGATAATAGCGATGAAGAAAGCAGCTTTGAATGTAAGATTTCGACATGCATACCAATGAGAATACTGTCGTTGCTCGAATCTTTCTTTACTAAACTAAACAAATTAAATATTAATATTAGGTGATTCTGTTAAATGTGTTTGACTTAAAAAATGCCGAACGAATCACGAAGTGAAAAAATTCTTTTCCCAATATACTCAAGAAATTGTGGCACAGATGAAAGTTACGTCGTGAATACTTAATATTGATATATAATATGTAGGGTTAATCACAACAGTATTAACAGCAGAAGCAACTTCAACAATAAAAGCAGCAACCGCAGCACCTACAACAACGCAGGCAGAATTAGCAGTCGCAACATCAATAATAGCAAACAGATATAGCAACATCAGTAGCAACCGCATCACCCACAACAACAACACCAGCAGAATTAGCAGTTGCAACATCAATAATAGCAAACAGCTACAGCGACAGCATATCCGGCAACAACTACGCTATTATTTAAACATCAGCAACTGAATCGACAAGAACAAATCCTGAAACCAGCAGTAGATTTGCGCAAAAGTCGTGAAACCAGCACCAGTTCTATCACGAGCCAACATAGAGCACAGTTAATATGAGCCACACCATTAATTAATGAGGACCACTTAATTCATTGGTGTGGTGTACTGGTAAAGTAATAATTATGCAGGAACATAAATTAATACACTACGGTTTCTAACAAAATGGCGATGACTGATATGGAAGAGACTACAGTACCAATGTACTGTCGAAGGGACACATTTTTCAGACGGGCGCTGCTGCAACTGTGCATATACAGGACTACTGGCTTAATCAAAATTGACAGTGCAAGGTCAAGAGGTGTATGGGTGGGAGCAAAACGTATGTGTGCCCACAAGACGGGTGGCCGTGGGGCGTTCGTGATGAATTCAGTGAAGTCCGACAGTGCTATAGACGAATGCCACTCGCGTGGTTCTATTGCCTTCATAATCGATTGAACATGCTATGCATAGCTTTCATAACGAATGAACACAACAAAAAAAGTGCCATGACGTTGCTTTAAACATGATTGCTATATAAATTTTAATATGTCGACCATCATAGCTTTCATGTACAAAAAACAAAATACTTAAAACATTACGAGTGCGAACTTAACGGCTCTACAATGACACTTCCCTCTCCCTTCACTTGAGGACATCACTTGCTTCAATCATGAGCATCTTAGACGTTTTAGCACGTACATTGTACATCAAACCTTCCATCTGAGCTCGGTGCTCGCTTATTGCGCCGTCATTAAGCAATTTTAACGCCTTCCCTTCCCCCCAACTTGACCAGCCCTTCTATCCGATACCTGGTGACCAAACAAATAGCCACGACGCCAGTACCACGTCAAACGTGCATCTGGACTGGCGCCGAATGTACGCAATCGACCTACAAAGAATCAAACGATAGTTTAACGATCTTGACAACGTCTAACCTATTACACGTTGCAGGCATGGAACAAACAGCAATAAACAGCACACCAAATTTTGTTTACACAAATATAATTGCGAAGTACGTCGACCTTTGTACCTACGCACAGTATGGTGGGTTGTCTACAGCCTGCTGATCACGCGCTGCGTCCCTGTCTCTGTCACGTGCATACAAATAAACATAAACGCAGCAACCTTTTTAATATAACGTGCAGATGAGTTACCATTTCGTACCTTCTCAGCGCATAACTTGCTTTCAGCAAGGATGATACTGCCATAGTAAGCAACGCAGAGGCCTTCGACCTTCTTCGCAGACACTCGTGGGTCGCAAAATGACTAATGAGTCGTCCGTTTGCCAAACAAAGTCTGCTCAATGAGATCAAACAAACGGCTCTTAAATATGGAAAGCCTCGTAATCAATCACGCAGTTTTGCTCACTAAGGCAGTTATAAATGGTGTGTCCCACATTAAATGTGCTCTACGTTGGCACGTCTCAAAACTGGTGCTGGTTTCAGAACTTTTGCACAAATCTACTGCTGGTTTCGGGATTTTCTAAATTGGCAATAACAAACCAATACATTGATAATAACAACATTGCCTCCGACTGGCTGTGTTAACGTCCTCATACAAAACGTCTGAGCCCGCAACCGGTGACTGTAAGCGCAGCAAGCTCGCGGCAGAACCCTCTCGGCGGCTTTTATCAATAGGGCAAGGGTTTAATATGGTCGTTAAATGGGAATTGAAAAACAAACAAGCACATATAAATTGATGTGTACCACATAAACTTAAGTTTCCTAGGACGTACGCTGTTTAATCAAATTGTTTCGATTATATTGACTTATTTTATATTCTTCTTAAATAATACGGGCATTTAACTTTTTAGTCATACACGATATTTTTTATCGTAATTCATTGTTCCTTTTTTCCTCGTATGGTTTCAGGTCATTTTATGAATCAGAAAAAGATTTCAATAAATATAATGGACGCGGGCAACACGTGGCTAGCACAAACCACCTATTACCTTTTTTATATGTAGTAAACAAGAAATCGCTACAGAAAAACAACAAACAGAATTATGCTCAAGGCGAACGTCAGCCGTCGTTATAAAAATGTCTTTTATTAAGTCTAGGTATGCGTATGTACGTCACCTTTGCTCGAGCGTTTTATAAATATAGAGAGGTCTGCTTAAGCTGTTGTCAGCAATTGAAAGCTTTTTTGTTGCAGCATAAACATGTTGGCCGAACTTTTTATACAATATACAATACTAAAGAGCATAACGTGAAGCCATATATATTACAGATAATCTTCAAATGCGCTTCGCGCTAGAACGGAGGAAACGAGATGAATAACCGCCGCTTTAAAGTACTGACTATAAATGAGAGCAATATATATAGGCCCTCGTAATGGGAAGCTCATTATGTTTCTATTACGATACCATATATTTGAGGATTCCAAATAATTAACTATGGTGCGTGAAACCTTCTCGCCGAACAAGTATACAGAATGCTCGCTAACCACCGAAATAACTTATGGAGAAATGTAAGTTTGACATCCACACCATACTTACGATACCAGATCAAACAAGAATCATTGACTAGGTATTATTATTTTTTAACAATAAGGAATACTCTTCATTAAAGTACCACTGAGGATGTTGTTCAGATTAGCACATCTAATATTTAAAGCTGTTGAATAACGAATGATAAGCATGATAAAATATGAGGTTTGAATTACCCATTCTCCCTCTGTTTCATCGAGAGGTAAAAAGCTGCATCTATAAGTTATGGATGTAGCTAAATGATGTAAGTTGCGCCAGAATTAAATAGATATCACAGCAATATATAATAGCGTACAAACGATATAGGCGGCATCGCCACAAGCTTCTATCAAAGTTCGGCCTCACAAGCGCGTAATCTTGGCTATGTATCCCAAATAAGGTTAAATAAATAATAATGTATATTTGCATTCGCGTGCTTTTGAGCAAGTTTCATTTCCTCCAGGCTCCGACGGTATGAACTCACGAAAGCAAGATTTATGCTTTTACAATGAGTCTATCAGCGGCTGAGTATAATTTACCTATGGGAAGCGCTTAGTTGGAAAGTATAAGCTGAGCCTAACAAACGAAGATGGTGAAATTGTCGCGCAGCATAGCGAATCTGCAATATACAAGTTTGCATCTGGTACGAATCGTCAATTTTATAGGAATCATTTACATCTATGTAAATAAAAAAGCGCATACTCAACTTGACTCGCACATGTCGCCTTGTAGCGCAAATTCTGCTTTTACCTGTTAAAATATCGTCGTGCAGACGTATGCCCCCTTTTTTAAATATTTTCGTAGTGTATAATGCTATGGTAAGTCTTCGTCAAACGCCGATTATATCTGCCCACGTAAAAAGTGCAGTCATCAGTACTAGATTTAGATATATATACGACTGGTGCGTTCACAACGACGTTCTCATTGTACATTGTAAATTTCGTCGGCACCCCCATCAATCGAAATTGGTGTCAATACAAAGAGGTCGAAGAGGCTTTGACAAGCCGGATTACAATAAGGTGGTAAATATAGCTCCTATATATGGTGAGAAGTTACCATTAATTACTCACTGTGCCGGACTGCCGATTTACGGACGGGGCACCCGACGCCGCGCATGGTACTAGATTCACCTAGGTACCCGACGGCTTGCATGCTGCGCATTTGGTAGACGTAAGTGGAGATGTAGATGTTGTTGGTCTTAAGAGGGTCAGATCTAGGAGCCACGAGCGTATATTTCATAATATGTGAATCCAAAGGTGACCACTCGATCGACCTTAGAGTAAATAAACTTACAGCCAAATGCTTTATGAAGCGTGTCGCTCCGTGCCTTTATCTTGTTATTTCAAATGTGACCACCACCTGACCTTTGCTCGGATTTTTAAAACGGATTCGCGAGGCCGCCACCGATATCGGATCTTTATGGACTAGTAAACACGACGAATCTACATGCCATACATGCCCAAAATTGGACGAGCGCTCGGTGTTGCAACGCAACTATCTTTAAACGGATAGGAGCCAGATTTTACCCTTCTTCCAGAACAGGCGCACACGCTTACCAAGATTCTTCAGCACGACGGAGGCGTCAA